ATGGCACAATCCCAAACCTGGGCTCAGCACACAACCTCAATTGTTACAGAACACCAAACCATTGTTTGAAAAAACACATGCAAGGATACAAACTTTAAATTCTTTCTCTCTGTTGATATCTCATTTCCTCCCTTATCTAAAACCTAATATCTAGAGTAAAACCTTGTAACCAGAACTGGGAGAGGTCTCCTTGAAAGAGCAGCAAAATGCCCCATGGTATTTTCCTCTGTCCAACTGTAGTTAGTCAATTAAATCTATTTTCCTTAATGGGCCCACAGGTTCCTAATTAATAGACCATGATTATGGGATGAGGCAGGGCCTTTCATGAGATTATTCCAGAACAGCAGTAGCTGTTTAAAAAGAAAAGAAAAGGAAAAGTATAAATCAAGCTAGACAGAGTGGTTGTTTTTGATGTTTTAGGAGACCACTTAGTCACCTAGAAAGAGTTAAATATGAACACACAATGAGTATATGTGAAAGTATGTGAAAGTGAGTATATGTGTGAGTTTCCTTCTGTCTCCATAGAAGTTGTTACAAGATTTCTCTGGTCCCAGATGCATAGACTGCATTTCTGTTGGTGAAGAGCCACCTTTGTTTCCCGATTACCACTGAACAGTGTGCAGGGATCTGTTCAAATCCACCACTACTTCTAGAAAAACGTCCCCAAACAAAATGCCTGCCTTTCTTTCTTCCTTTCCTTCCTTCATTTGTTCGTTCTTTCCTTCCTTTCTTTCTGTTTCCTTCCTCCATCCTTCCTTTCTCTCTTTCCTTCCTTCCATCCATCATCTAAGTTTATTTTGTATGCAGTCCTTTATATCTAGAGATGAGCTATGTCACACCTTTGTTATACTAATTGCTAGGAGCTCTGGTGGTCTAGTGCCTAAAGCATTAGACTACTAACCAGAAGGCTGGTGGTTCAAACTCACCAGCCATTCCTCGGAAGGAAGGTTGTGCAATCTACTTCCATAGTGATACCACCTCGGAAACCCAAGAAGGGGTCGTTATGAGTTGGATCTGACTCAATGGCAGTGTGTGGACCAAGAATAGATTTTTTTTTTTTTCCTTCTGGCATACTCCAGCTTCTCCTTCACTGCTGAAGAGTCAAGAGAACTTGCTGTAAGGTGATTTCTCCTATAGTTACTCTTCAGAGTGTACCTCAATTACATATAAGGATAACCCCTATTCTGTAAGGATAAGCCCTGATTTATAGAGGCTCCACAACCAATTTATTGACTCAATAAATTTCATCCACTGATTATGTTTCCATCTAAAAGCTTTATGTACTTATAAAACTGGGAGAGCCTTTAGAATCATCCTAGCTCAAGTTTCTTTCTGAGTCTTTTTCCATGAAATGAATGACAACACATTAAGCCAATCCATTAGCTAGAATATCACTGCTCATACTCTTGATCTGCTGGCCAAGGAAACATTTGTATTGTCTGGGTTCTATTTAAGAAAATATTTAAAGTAGATTGAATATTTCAGAACATATGATCAAAATTCAAAATTATCTTCCTCCAATGGAGAAAAATATGTCTGATCTATAAGAAATAGGCTTGTTAAAAGAAAATTAGAGTTTGCACTAAAACCTCTAGCAAAAACAGGGCATTTTCCTCTCCCCTGAGATCTTTAAATAGATCCATGAATAGTTTTCACTTGAACCCAAGTTAGTGTCACAGATTAAATGAGAATATAAAAGGGATAAGTCTTTGATGAACAATTAAGTGGAGAGGCCTTTGAAATCTTAATTGCAAACCTTCTTTTAGAAGGATGCACAGACCATTTCATAGCTTCCAAAGATTTTTCTAGCAGAGATGGGAAATATAAGCTGACTTTTCTATGTGATTGAGACACATCAAATATCATTTTAATTTTCTCTACATTTACAATTGGAATAACCAGATTAATTGAATTTTTCATTTAAAAAGACACCTAGAGATTTCTCTCACTTTTAATTTTTAATATCTGACATTCATTGAATAATGGTAATGGTGTGGAGAAATTTTATATACTAGAAAAAGATCTGTCTAATTGGTCAGCATTCTACACACCTTTTCCTTACCACCAGGTAAACATGGAAAGGAGCTCTGGTGGTGCAGTGATTAGGACATTTGGCTGCTAACCAAAAGGATGGTGGTTTGAATCTACCAGCTGCTCTACAGAAGATGAGACAGTTTGCTTCCATAAAGATTTTTAGCCTTAGAAACCCTATGGGGTTGCTATCAGTCTAAATTGACTTGAAGCAGTGAGTTTGGTTTTTGGAGGTAAACACTGAAGCACTTACTGATGATGATCAAAGACTACAACCTTTGGTATGGATTCTACTACGTCAACATAAAGAAAACAAAAATCTTTACAACTGGACCAATAAGTAATATCATGATAAATGGAGAAAAGATTGAAATTGTTAAGAATTTCATTTCACTTGGATCCACTATCAGAAAAAGCCAGAAATTCAAGCTAGATTCAGAAGAGGACATGGAAAAAGGGATATCATTGCTGATGTCAGATGATCTTGGCTGAAAGCAAAGAATACCAGAAAGATGTTCGTATTTTACTATGCAAAGGCGTTAGACTGTGTGGATCGTTACACATGGATAACATTGTGAAGAATGGGAATTCCAGAACACTTCATTGTGCTCATGCAGAACCTATACATAGACCGAGAGGTGGTCTTTCCAACCGAACAAGGGGGCATATTGCGTGGTTTAAAAATTTAAAATCAGTAAAGCTGTGTATCAAGGTTGGTAAGTACCCTTTTACCATACTTATTCAATCTGTATGCTGAGCAACTAATCTGAACAAGCTGGATTATATGAAAAGAACACGGCATCAGGATTGGAGGAACACTTAAAACAACCTGTGATATGCAGTTGATACAACCTTGTTTGCTGAAAGTAAAAGGGACTTGAATTTACTGATGAAGAAAAAAAAGACTCTAGTCTTCAGAACGAATTACACCTCAGCATAAAGACAACAAAAATCCTCACAACTGGACTAATAAGCAACATGATAAATGGAGAAAAGATTAAAGTTGTCAAGGGTTTCATTTTACTTGGATCCAGTGTCCATGGAAGCAGCACTCAAGAAATCAAAGTATGTATTGCATTGGGTAAATGTCCAGCAAAAGCGTTAAAAAGCAAAGATGTCACTTTGAGGACCAAGGTGTGCCTGCCTGAAGCCATGGTATTTTCAGTTGCCTTGTATGCATGTGAAAATTTGACAATGCATAAGGAAGAAGATAAACTGATGCCTTTGAATGATGGTGTTAGAAAAGCATATTGAATATACAAACCAACCTGCCTTGGCAGAAGCACAGCCAGAATGGTCCAGAGAGGAGAGGATGACGAGACTTCATCTCACTTACTCTGGACATGTTAGCAGAGCCACCAGTCCCTGGAGAAGGACAGCATGCTTGATAAAGTAGAGGGTCAGTGAAAAAGAGGAAAACTACCAGATGGATTGACACAATGGCTGCAGAGAAGGGCTCAAACATAGCAAGGACTGTGATGACGCCCAGGACCAGGCAGTGTTTCTTCTTTGCACATAGGGCCCCTCTGAGTTGGAACCAACTGGACAGGACCTAACCAAAACAACAGGTAAACATTTAGGTATATTAGTATTATGAAGAATTGATGCTTTTGGATTGTGGTGTTGGTGAAGAACACTGAAAGTACCATGGACTGCCAGAAGAACGAACAAATCTGTCCTGGAAAAAGTGCAGCTGGAATGCTCCTTGGAAGCGAGAATGGCCAGACTTCCTCTCACCTATTTTGGTCATGTTGTCAGAAGGAACCATTCCCTGGAGAAGGATATCATGCTTCGTAAAGTGGAGGGTCAACGAAAAAGGGGAAGGCCCTCAACGAGATGGATTGATACAGTGGCTACAACGATAGGCTCAGGTATAGCAAGGATTGTGAGGCTGGCGCAGGACAGGGCAGTGTTTCATTCTGTAGTACATAGGGTCGCTATAAGTCAGCCGGCTTGACAGCACCTAACAACAATATTATGATAATCCTTGCAAAGCATATTGTTGTTTGGTTTATGATCATTTAAAAATATTTGAAGGAAGATATTTGAAAAATGAAGAGACTATTGTGAAACACCCACACCCAGACACACATGCACACATTCACTCATTATTACTAAAACTTTAAACAAAGAATGTTATCCTCCTTGAAGTTGTGAACAACCCGAGCGGGAAGTCTGTTGCAAGGATGAACAAAAGCATGGCTGCACGATAGTATTATCTCTGCAGTAGCAGAAGGCTGCGTGACGAGGATTGCGGCGACTGTCTATCCTAGTGCGTTTTGGTTAATGACAACCCGTTATTCTGTCAGCTCAGCCAACAAACTGTTCTCTGCCTCTGCTTGGTCACTCCGGCTCTGTTAAATGGGGAGAAGGGAAGAGAATAACGGTGAATTGAACGAGGTGGGGCACACGGGTATTCCTTCCTTTCGGCGCCGGCGTCGCCCAGGGTCGTGGGGGAATTCCAGGACCGTATTAACCTATTAATTAGTTGTTCAGCTAGGGGAAAGCAGTGAAAAGCTTAATCTTCTCTTCTAGGCTGGGGACAAGAAAGCTCGGTTGGTCAGAGCTCTGTACTCGGCGTGCACGAGCACAGGACTCCTCAGAGCCCGAGCCGGAGCCAGTAAAGGTCAAGTCGAAGGGTACGACAGAAGGGTATCCCTCCCTCTAGCCAGCTCTGCGGGAAGCTCCGGGTCGGAACCACCGCCGTAAATGCTCCAAACCTGGAGGGCGGGGAAGGGGCGGGTCCCGACAGGGGGCAGGACTAAGGGGTGGGGACAGAGACGCCGAGGTGTGAGTCGGGAAGGGTAGTTCCATGAATCCCAGTAGGCGTGTCTCCTAGGCGCTTCTTGCTGGGCTAGGACTACAATTCCCAGGAATCTGCGTATCTGAACGGAGAGTCCATGCGCAGTGGGCGCCACATTGTGTCCTATCAGGAGGAGAGAGGGTGATGTCACCTGCGAGTTAGTAACCTACGAGCGGCTGTGAAGGAAACTGTTTAACCGGATCCCATTGTACACGGAGCGCAGAGCTGCCTTTCCAGCATGCACGAGCTGCTCAGGTAAGGGGGACGTGCCGCCTTACCCGCCCCACTCATTCATTAAGTGGCACCGCGCAGTGGCGCAGGATTGGGTGCGCTTCTCCCGGCTAGGCACTGGGTTCGTGGCTTGCCCTCCCGCTGCCTCACTGGAGCTGCCGGCCCATTAGGTAAATATTAAACCAGTCCTTCAGGTTAGGTCTGGGTGGGAATGGGACCGAGACAGCTCCTGGCTGCCAAGCTGAGGATGGGAAAATGGCTGCAGCGCTGCGCAAAGCGAGGCGAGACCCAGGGAAGGCGCCCCAGAGGACAGGGGTCTCTCTCTCTCCTTTCTGAGTCTCTCGGATACCAGGGGAGCCGGCAGGATACCACTTGCCGTCTTGGAGCAGGCACCCTGAGGCTGGGGCTCTGGAAGTCTTGGTCTCGGCTCAGTGCTGCAGACAGTGTAGCGGCGGGGAGCTCCTGGCCCGGCAGCTCCGGGAGAGAGATCCTGAGGACAGGAAGGTGGCGACAGGAAAGAAGGGACTTCTGTGCTTGTCCTCGTCGGAGCAGAACCGCCACCATCCCTGGCACCCTCACTTCAAGCCCCATTCTAAAGGGGCGGGGTGACAGTAATTCAGGCAAACTTCGAAGCTAAACGTCTCAAAGAGAGAAGCGGGAAAGCCGGTGCTGCAGAGGGAGCGAGGGGTGTTGGCGGACAGCAGCTTTGGGAGGCTGCGCCGCCTGCGTCCCAGGTTCGAGGCGCCGGGGAGCACGCGCTCCTCACGACCCCTCTTGGGAGCATCTTCGTTTTCCCTGCACCGTTTGCTGGGCAGACAGCGTGAGGCGACTGCCCCGGAGCCATAGGCCGGGAGGTGGGAAGGGAGGTATGTGTCGAATAATCTAATGATGTTTCGCTGTGGGGCAGGAGAGCTAGATAATCGGGTTTTCCCCGGTAGTGAGGAAAAGCCCACTGCTTGCGATCAGCTTGGCCTTGGACTGGAGACGTGCGTGAGGCCCGAGAACTCTGGATTTTCTCTCTCGGTTCTTGGCACCTTCGTTCGTCGGATTACTCACTTATCATCGAACCATGATAAGGTCTCTGTTCTCAAGGAGCTCACAGCTTGGGGTTGAGGGGTCTGTCTCGCCCTCATAAAATATTTCAGCGCCCCTCCCCACCCCAGGTCAGGGTACCATCGAGAGCAAATGCCATCCGTGACTGTTTTGTTCCCACCAGATCTTCCTTTCAAGGGGCTAGTAAATTTTTGAGACGCTAGCAGGACCCAGTGAATTCGAGCGGAGTTTGCCTGCAAGATGAATCCTGTTGCCATGGCGACTCTTGCTGTAGGAATCTTAACAGCTCCCACTGCTGTTTCGATTCGACGCGGCTCTGCGGGCAGCTGGGAGGGCGTGGTCAGTGGGTGTGGTCAGACACTTGCCTTGAGCCCAGCTGCTCTCTTCTTTCTCACCCTTTTTCGCAGTTCTTGGACTCCCTCCATTCTACTGTAAATAGCTTGGACACTGTTCTTAGACCTCTGTCTATCTCTGGTGCGGATACCGCAACTCTCCATCTCCCTTTCATGAACGAATTGTTTGAAACCCTTTTCCTGAGGCAAGCCTTGAAAATTACAATAGAAAGATCTCTTTCCCCTTTCAAGCTAGTTGCAGCATTTCCCAATAAAGGAGCAAATCGTGTTGGAGGCAGCTGGCTGTCTCAGGAAGGGTGCTGTACTTCATGAAGAGAGCTCCCTGGTCCGTTCCTGGTGACCAGTAAAGGTTATTTTGCTCCAGGTGCAGCTGGTCGGAAGTGATTGGGGGCAATTAATAACTGAAAGCAAGTTTGCTCAGATTATGAAATTGAATTATGGAAGTCACTGTCATCACTCGTCATTTTATAAAATCTAAAAGGCTGCCGAGAGGATGCAGGTGTTTGAGGGTGAAACCCTCTGGACTGGGAACTAGGACACTGAAGGTCCTGCTCTGTCTGTCATTACTGGCGGCCTCTGTGCTTAACTTCCGTATCTCTGGGGACCTCAGTCTCATTTACAATATGGGGAGAAGGGTAGAGAGGATTTCCTAAAGTTGATTCTAGATATAAAATCACGTGACTTTGAGCCTTACATGTATGGCAAAATGGACTTCTATTTATACTGTACTTTTTTTTTTATCTTAGAGCTAATTGTTTAGGTCTTGACTTTATAGATTCTTGATGAAATGCAGTTATTTGTAACTTGATTGTATTATGGATGTGTTTTGTTTTCCCTTTGCTTCATTTCAAGTAAGGTCCATTGTTACAGAAGTTGCACTTAAAGGGGTGTGTGTGAGAGATGTGGGTCTGTGAGTGTGCATTTACATTGCTGTGCAGGTAAATGCATTTACATTGCTGTGCAGGTAAATGCTTGGGGGAGGCTATGTGCCAGATGCTTGACATTCATCATCTTGTTTAAGTGGGTGGTTTTGTCCCTGTAAGGAAACAGGGTCAGAAGTTGTGTCTTACCATTTATTTTTGTCCTAGAACTTATCATTAACTGAAAGTCTCCTTCATTTATCTGTTTACTTCTTCTTATCTCCCCTACTGGATTGTAAGCCCTTTGAGGGCAGAGGTCTTTTTCCATCCCTGTCTCCTTGGTATTTGGAGCAGTGTTTGGCCATTGTAGGTATTTAATAAATATTTGTTGAATGAACAGTAAGTAGTAAAGCCAGGATTGGAGATCCAAGGTCTGTGTTCTTTACACTGGTAATTCTGTCATCAGTTGTAACATTCCCCTAAAATGCTTTCTGCCAAGCAGTTTCTTTTCAGCATAAACCAGAACTCCTGTTTGGCATGTGAGTTGAGTATAAAGGCCCTTCAATGTGTTTAAAATGGAGAAATGTTTCCTAATTAGTTGCTTTTGTAGTACATTTGCCCACATAAAAAATATTTTTTCTAGTTAAAATTTCCTATCACTACCTCAAGCCAGGGATTTCTAGATTTCTCTGGCCCATGTAACTTTCCCAGGAGGTCAGTGGCAGGAGAATAGGGAGAGGGAGACAAAGGCAAAGACACCTAGAGACTTTTGCCAGGCTACCAAGGCTCTGAGGCTCCATTTGGGAAGAAGAGCTGTGAGACAATAGCTGCCTCATGTAGGGTGCAATTGTTCTACAAACAAGCTCAGTTGTCTCAGACTGGCTGACATGAGGGAAGAGCAGGATCAGGACATTTGTCTAGTTTTTGTAACATTCTGTTATCCAGTAGTTGAATTCTGTGTATAAGTCAGTGAGGAGGTGTGACAGTAAAGAGGATGCAGTGCGTTATGTCCTTGGGTGGTGCTTACAGGAGCTCTGTGACTAGGTGCCAAGGAATTTAAATCCTGGTTTTCTTGCTTTGTGGACATGCTTGGGGTGTTAAGAATGTATGTGTGTCTGTGTGTGGTTTTATTTGAGCTGCTTTGTTTAAAAGGCTGCTTTTGGTGTTGATACCATAGTCATCGAACAAATAAGGTGTTTACAAACAAAACAGTTAAGACTGAAAGTGTTGAATTTTGTAAATATTTTGGGGGTAGTATAAAGAGAGTGGCTTTGGCTTGAGAATCTTGAGGTCATCTGTGAAATCATTTAACAAGTTATAGCTGTTGGATCAGGGGAAACAAGCTTTTCCAACAAAGCTTGGTACCACTAAGAGCCTTAGGTGTTTGGTTCAAGAAATAATCACAGAGCTTGTAACTGCTGGGGCCTTCCCTGGCTTTGTATTATTCTTATTATTTCCAAGGGTTAAATTTATCTTAATATTACAGGAAACAAAGCTACTTTGCCAACTTGGGTTAGCAAACTTGCTCTCTGTCTAGAGGAGGCACCAACCACAAGTGAAAATTCCTCTCTTTTGAGATTTTTCTTCTCCGCATGAGGAATGTGGGGTGCTGTCACATATTTTGGTATGACATTTTCTAACTTGATCATAGAGAAAATCTTGTACAACACTCACAGCTTCTATTCTTAGTAGCTCCGCAAGGATTCAAAGTTTGAGAATAAGAGACAACAGGTAGCACAGGTACTATTAGAGAAAGCAGTAAAGAGAGCAGGGACAGATGCAGAGTTTCAGTATGGGAGGGATTAGGAGATAGGGTCGGGTGGGCAGCTAGGCTGGGGCAGAAGGTACCTCTCTAGAGATTGCTCTTTACTTAGCAAGTATACTGCTTTTTTTTTTTTTTTTTTTTTTTAATGTTGATTGGATTTATATAGAGTGGCTGGGGGCTGCTGATAGAGATTGTACTTGAAGAGTGAATCTAAAGCCCTCTCCCTCTTTTCTGCCAAATCACCCCCTGAGAGTATCACCCCCTCAAAAAGAGACTGATGAAGATGAGATCCAGGTTGATTTTGGCATCCTACGTTCCACTCTAGTAGACTCATTTTGAGCCTGTTGTCATTTTTATTTTCTGATATCCTTTCACTGTGAACGTTTCAGAGAGCATATGAATTCATTGTACACATGTCTGAAAATAGGTTAAATCCTAGGAGTAGATATACAGAATTCCTCCCCACACTTCCCACCCTAGTCAAAACCAAAGTTATCTAATACACCCTTGGCTTTGGTCAGCTTTTTTCCTGGTTGATGTTTGAACCCTCTTACCTCTGACTTTCTATAATTATGGACCCCCACATCTGGAATGAGTACCACTGTGGGTATCTGAATTCTCTTTGTGCTTTCAGATCAGTGCCAGAGCTTCCAGGAAGCCTTCTCCGCCTATTGCAAGGTGCTTACCTTCACTATACCCTTCCTAGTACTTTACAAGGACTAAGTCATTGATGCCTTACAGCAACCTCAGGAGGTAGATATTATTATCACCATTTTACAATGAAGAAACAGTCATGAAGAAGTTAAGGAACTTGCCTAGCTTAGATTACACAGCTGGTAGATGATAGATCAGCACAGGGACCCAAGCAATCTAGTTGTTTACACAACACACTGTTGGTTGATTGAGACTAAAAATGCTTCTTCTCATAATGTTTCTTTATAGTATGATGTTCTAAAATGAAAATCAGAAAACGTTCCCTGAGATTTAAAATGT